GAAATACACGTCCCAGAGCTGTAGGGGGAGCTTGTTGAGAAAACATGTGATGACAAAAGTGAACACCAGCGAAGAAATGGCTAGAGTTGCCAAGTTCCCCTTTAAGCGATAATGACAATAACCATTATTTGCCACTGAGCTTTATTGTGTAAAGAATAGATTACATTGTGGATGGTGAAGTCCGGTCACTGTGTACGTATATGTGTGCTGTTGTTTTTCTGTCTTTGGACCAATTTGAGTGTTAGACCTTGAGAGTGAGGACATTCTTGGGCAGTGAGAACATTTCGTCCACTCCTCACTTTTCCAAAGGATTGTTTTAAAGTTAAAACCTGTTTTTTGGGTGTAGGTTGGAAATATATTTAGATTAGGGTTACGTTAAAGTTTGAGGTTATGTTGTGGGGATGGTCAGTTATGAAATTCATTATATCAATGATATAACCTGCAGTGCAGTCAGCAGGTTGCTGGTCTCTCTCAGTCGGGCCCTGGTAGCGTCCAGCTCCTCCAGCAGTTTGTCCTGCGCCTCCTTTAGTGTGGAGATCTGTCCCTCAGCTGTCCCGATGTCCTGCTCCCCCTGCTGCACCTCCTGCTGCAGCCGAATCACCTGCGGGGAGGAGAGACAGATACACAGACGGTTAGACAGAGAGAGCTAGACAGAAAGACCAAACCATTTTCACAACCTCTACTCGGTTGCACTTGAGGCTGTATCTCAGCATGGCAGCAACCTAGAAACTACATCAGCATTTTATGCTCAGCGAGGTGGAATTTCCATCAAAAATGCATTCAATAACCATTTCTGTTTCTGATTTTTAAATGAGCCAGGCCCATATACTTTTTTTTTTTTTGCCAACGTGGCAACATAGTTTTGCAATGCATCAGATATTAATTTACCTCAATGTTAAAAGCACAGTACAACTAGCACAAACAGCAACAACAACAAACACAGTGAGGCAGTGGGTTCACTCACAGGAAACTGATTTCAAAGAAAAATGAAAACAGACCTTTGTTAGAAGAAGAATGGAGTTACACACCAGAAATAAATGTATTTTGACTACAATTTTAGTTTTAAGTTTTAAACTACACAGATAAAAGTCTGAATACTTCAAATTATGTAAAAAAAAAACAAAAAAACAACCAATATTATTAATGAACGAAAAGCTCATATCTCCAGAGGCTTCACAACTTCACTTTGTGGTGACAAAGAAGTCTTTGCACTCCAGTAACTGAAGCACAAACACTTTTAACTCAGGTTTAATAATTTCTTATCTCACTCTAAAAGATGTGAGCTGTTCAGGTACACTCAGTGTCAGGTTCAAAGATAATAAGAGACATTGAGCTGATGCTTTAAAAGGATGAGTTATCAATAATATAATTAGAAAGTCCTTCCCAACATTTGGGATGTTATATAACTTTAACATTTAGATTTGTACAGTTTATTTTTCACATAGGTAATTTTGATGTGTCCTTTAAGAAGAATGGGAGCTGCACATTTGGAAATGACCTGCATCTTTCTTTTTAGCTGGAAATATGAATTTACTTCATCTTTCAAATGGTAAACACTATTTAACATTCAAGTCACACACATTATTAAGGAGCCAAGGTTTCAGACTTTGTGTAACTTTTGGAGGTGACTTTACCGGCAAGAAGTTTTAAGATTAGTAGTAAGACATTTATCACAAACACAAACAAAATGACTGCTTTACAAAACAACCTCGCCATTTAGTAGCTGTTGCTGCCAACATGGATGAGAAGTTCTCAGTGTTTCTAAATATATAAACTTGAACATAAAAGCATACGAAATAATTCCATGACAACAAAGCAAACTCAATCTGCTGAAGAAGATCATGTGATATGATTGAAAGCTCCACAACAGTTGCACTATAGGTCATATAGTCATTCCAGTTTCTAAGGTAGAAAGTAGAAAGTTTGAACTTTAAAAACTAGCAGTTTTGTTGGTTTCAATGCCTGCAATGGTTAGTTAGTGAAACTATATACTATTTCTGAATGCATACTGTATTTAATAAGGAAGCAACCAAAGACAGTTGAAATAGTTTTAAACATAAAATTGTTTGTAACTTACACGTTATTCAGAGCTTTCACTGATCTGACGTCAATACACAATAAGTCAGGTATAAATGTACAGTTCAACGGGTCCCACCTCCTCATTGGCTGCAGTGAGTTTGGAGGTCAGCTCGTCTCTCAGCTCGTCCAGCTGCTGCCTGAGGAGCGTCTTCTGCTCCTCCAGGGAGAGGCGCTCCCTCTCAAACTGCTGCTCCAGCTCCTGTGGAAACCAGTCAGAAACACAAATCTGTCAAAACGAGTGAGAGGTAAAAGAGCATCAACAAGGAAGTGAAAACCCTGTGTGCGTAGATCAGAGTTCATATGGAGGGGAAACAGTTCCCTGACTGGTAAAGCTGTGCACATTTTATTGGAAGTATTAGTATTAGTATTCATGGTCTTTTACATTTATAAAGCTTCTCAGTCATCCAGGTAATAGGACATCTGAAAGAGTCAAAGCCAGTTGGATTTATTCATAATTCTTATTAACCGCTGTCAAGACCAAACAGCGAGTCCACTTTCCTTCGACTTCCTACATTTTAAAGAACAACCATGACTTTATGAAGCACTTTAACCTTATTATTGTGTTAAACAGGTCATACAGTTATATATAATATAATACATGTTTTTCTTGAATTCTGTAAAACCCAAAGTCTACAGCAAGACTAGCAGCTCTATATTTTGCAGATATTTACTATGTTCATCATCTTAGTTCAGTGTGTTAGCATGCTACCAGCTGGGAATGTCATAAATTCTGCAGGTATTTGGTCAAAAGTATTGGACAAAAGAAAATTCTGACTTGATGATGGTACTAAATGAAGCAGGGATCAACAAAGTGATTCACTCTCAGATGAATGTCATATCCATACAATAGCTGTTGAGATATTTCAGTCTGGACCAACTGATACACAGTGATGATGCACAAAAAAGCACTGAAAAAGATCTATTTGAAGACAGAGACTGATAATGGACACTTAGTGGGTAACACACTCGTATCCTTCAGTCATGTGCAGTACTTCCTCAGTTGTGGTTGATCTCGCTCCTCATTGTTTGACATTACATTCACTGCATTCATCTGTGCAAATTTCTAAAAATACTTCAAACAATTGCATTGTCCTTGCCAGAGAAGAGAGAAAGAGCTCGAGCATTGTTACCACAATAAAGCGTATTATGCCTGCTGATGAATGAGGAACGATTTCTGTTATAGTGCGCAATGATTGCTGCTTTCCAAGGACAATTAGAGCTGAGGGGAAATTGCAGTGATGTCAAATGAAATTCACCACCATTATTCATTACACAGGAGGATGGGGTTTGTAAAAAACATTCAATGCATTGACTACTGTGACACAACTCCATAGAAATGAATGGAGTGTCACAGAAATCCATCTGAATGGAAGAAAGAGTGAAAAATCACAGTAATTCATGTGTAATGCTTCATGACACCTTGTATTTCACAAGATGCTTACCGGGGGTCACGGGGTGGAGAAAGTTTCTCTGCTGGCAGGATAATAACTAGGAGAACTGTTCCTCACTGACACAAATATGCATCTGTTAAACAGTTTGGTATAATTTGGTACGTAGAGTCACAGATTGGTATGTTTTAGCCTGTTATTGAAATTGTTCCCTTCCAAATGATGCAGAGTTGGCAAAATATCCTAAGTCTGTAGGTCCACTCCTGTTCCCCCTGCTTGCAATAAATTAAGCATTATAATGCTATTCTAAAAAAGCCAAGAATGGGGCCAGTACCTGCCCACCCCTAGGCCATGGTGAAACCCCCATGCTTCATCAAGATAGCTCTGATCTACTGTTGCCAGAAGCCTTCTCGTCCCACAGGTCCCACACAAAGGCTTCCTTGAAACTGCTCCTCGCTTGTGAATCCACTCAGAATAACGAACTTCAAACACTCTACATGTTACTTAATCTGTTTTGTGGATAATTACCAACTCAGTGCTTTGTTTTACCTGCTGTGCTAACTTTTGTGCTAGCGGAGGTGTAATCCCTGCAGTTCTTTATTTTATATAAAAGCAACTTCTGCTACTTAAAGCTGCATTAATCAAGGTTTTTGGCCATTGGGGCAGCAGAACAAATTATTATTATTAACTTAATTTGATCTGGTCTATTGAGAAAGATTTCCTACCAGTGTTCATCACAAGTTCTCAACTATATTGTGTAGAATATAGAGACCCTGACACTGTGTAATAATAGATCATAATAGAATAATAGATTTTTACATAAAAAAATGCATTGCAATGCACCAACTCAGAAATCCAACCATGAAATATAATCAAGATATGAATGAAGGAATATGTCATTTTTTTTGGAACTTTTGGAAAAGTAAGGTGACTTCCACCAGTCTGATGATGATCAAGGACGTGATATTAGGAATATTCTGGCCATCGGTCGATCCAGAAACAGACAGATGAGGAGGAATCATAATACGACACATCAGGATTCCTGTCATACCTTGCCGCTCGATATAGGGGGCGAGACCGAGGTACTGCAGACCTATTCATTTAAATTCCAAACTGGGTCTTCTCACAGACAACTCTCATTATAATTTAAAGTGATGACAGAATGGAGGTGATGAAAGAAAAGATGATTAACTAGACGTGATTAAACTCGGATCAGACAAAAGCATCAAGTGATGAGGAACAAAGGGACCAAGAGGTATTTCTTCTCATCTTTCTGCCCTCTTATTTTGCAGAAAATACATAAAACCGGAGCAGCAGCGAGCAAGTGAATAAGAACTGAATGAATGCTGGTTCTCAGTCCGGACATTTGTGCACCAACACTGGCCGCATGATCACGAACAGGAGTGAACAAAGGCGAATTATTGTGCATATCAGAGTACAGTGGGAGGGAATATGAGAGTATGAAAATCACACAGGGCCGGAGAGGAGGAAGCCTGCATATGTAATGCATATCTAATAACTACGGAAATGCATAACACTCTTCTCTTAATGTAGCTGTCAGCTCTGATCGGGTCTACTGTGGAATATCATTTAAAACACGTCCTCATTATGCAACTTTGATGCAAGAGAATACTTGATCACTTGCTTTCACATGGCTGTGTGTGACTGGAATAAAGGCCTCTGTGGAGATTAGGCATCATCACAGGGCTATTTCAGGCTGGTGGAGCTGTATGCCTCGGCTGCAGTCAAATTAGTGGTAGGCTGTGGTTTGGAACAGCTAGACCTCAGGCTCATTAAACAAGTCCCAGTGCCCGGTTTGTAATCCTAAGGGGCAATTTTACTGTTGCATATCAGATACAGGAAGACGTCACGATGATGGAATTTGGCTATTTCCTATTATTTGAACACCAAGCACAAGTGTCAGCTTATTTGTAGTCATTTATTTGAGGAGCAAATAGGTGCAGGGCCCTAAAATGAAACCCGACTTGTTCAGAAGGTAAAGTCACCAGTGTCCTTTATCAATCACATATCATGTCGTGACACTTCCTAAGCACCGTCTCTTTTTGCTCTGCGCTCCAGTAACAGTTAGCTAGCATTTTAATGACATTAGCTTTTTAGATGTAACTAGCCAGCTAACAATTGATGTAGATAAGCTATCTTGTTAGCTGATGATCAACTGTTATTGGAGGAGAGAGCTAAAAGGGGCGGGACTTATGAAGGGTCAATTGAAGATCATCAGTTCAAGACCGACCTGTTTAGATTAGGTTAGATTAGATTAGTAAAAAAAATATTTATTTTTATTGTGAGGTGATTTTGTGATGTTCTGCACTTGACAACTTTTCATAATAATTATCATTAAATATAAATATATTTATTGTATTGGAAGAGTAAAATGTAAAAATGGGACTTGCCATTATATAGCGGGTTTTTAACTAAATGAAAACAGACCAAAGGGCCAAACCAACTCACACCCACTGGCGGGCGGAAGGAGGAACCTTTTAACCTCCCGGGCAGTTCTTGAAGTTTAGGACTCCATATGTGGAACAGAAAGGCCGGGGATCAAAAAACTGCCAACACTGGCGCATTAAAAATTGACCGGCCCGCTCCTAACTCCTTGAACCAACAGCTGCCCATTAAACTATTACTTGGCATAATCTTTCATATCTAGTATTTATTAAAGAATATTTTGTAAAACCTTACCTGAGGCATACATACTAAAAATTCGGTTTCTTTGTGAACAAACCTCTCTCACATTGTGGCGGAACATTAACAAATGATTTACGTTTTAATTTGAAAAACATATATCCCACCATGTAAAAAAAGGGAAGTTTTCCTATTTCTTGGTTAATTCATTTCCAGAGGTGGCCTCGTTGCATTTTCAGGGAACTTCGTCCCTTAGGGAAATTTGGGATTTCTTAGGTTGGGCTGTTTATGTTGAAGGATCAAAACAGGGAATTATAATTAAAACTTAAAAAATTTTTCAAGCTGTTTTCTTTTGAAATTACTTTTCAAGAGGAAAATCAAACATTGTTGTTAATAAAAACCATAAAAACCGGGGCTTTTTGCTGAAAACTTCAACTCAAGCTTTGAGGAAGGAGAGGATTAAACCTCTTTGGTTTTCAAAAACAAGAAAAAACCCTTTCTCATTTTCTTCCCAAGAAGCTAAAAAGGTAATGGGTAAAATTAATATAACATAAGGGAATATGCAGGAAGACAAAAAAGGCGTTGCGTAAAAAGCCGCCCATCTAAAAGTGGGTGTATTTTGCTTGTCGTTATGAAAGGCTTTAGCCCTGTTTTAGGACCGCCCACACTCAGTTGCTAAGTAAGTAAAGCTGTTGAAATATTTATGGCTGGGAATTTTAAAGAAACACAACAACAAACCACAACACAACACACAACAAACACAACAACAACCAAACAACAACACAACCACACACACACACACACACGTAGTGGTTGGCTGCCAGAGTCACATCCCTCAGCCAACATTCACATCCATCCACCCCTTTCACCATCACATCATTTTGCCCTAATTTTGATTACTTTTCTCACTTTATACTCTCCACTTGCGGTTTTATGCGCAGTAAATGTCACCAGCAGACAAGCAGGACAACGATGAATTTAAATCGAAGGGTCCTGCACCCATTTAAATGTCAAAACTCCACACCTTTTCAAAACCTTAATTTCCACACCTATTAGTGACATAGTAAACCTACTGAACTTACTGAAAAATATCAAAAATATGTGAAGTAAAAAATGTTCTGAAACAACAAAAAAAGCTGAATTTCTGCACACACCTTCTCAATTTCTAATATCTGAAACACATTCTTTCACCGTGAATTTCCTCACTTCCTCACGTGTGTGGGTAGCGTGTTAATCTAATTTGTATTTCATTGTTTCCTGCACAAAGCCACGCCAAAGCAGCTGTGTGTGAACCGGAGGAGTAGCAGTTTAAGGATCACCCCAGAAATAGCACCGCGGAGCGTCAACACACTCTTATCACCTGTGTGACTCACCAGGCTGGCAGGATGCGTATAGTGTCCACATGTGGACCGAACATGCCACGTTTCCGAACTTTGTTTTCATTGAGAATTTATTTTTATTTGCTTCTTTTGTAACTCTCTTTTATAACATTATATCACTCCTCCGGGTTACTCAGATTTCCCCCAGGTTACGTGAACTCAGAGGTGTCCTAGATGACATTTATAAGTGATAAATATAAATGCGCTCCCACGTCAGTAGGCTGCATTTCCTCCTTTGAGTTTGCCAGCTTCTTAGTCACTTTTCATGTGTTTTATTCAAAGGTGCACTCCTTTACTCAAGGACCTGAATGGCTTTTCTCCTATTGATATGATATCTGAGCATACGTGATTACGATCATCAAAATAAAAATGATCTTCATCTTCAGACCTTGCACACCATCTGGATCTTGTTTCTTTGTCACCTGCTGTGCTGCTAAAGTGGGTCCAACTGCTACCAGCATTAACTTCACTGACTCATTTCTGTCCCGCAGTGAAGAGCTGATCAGTATTTGTAACAGCAACAGATTGTGGGTTTTAGATATTGTATTAAGATAAGATAAGATAAGATATTCCTTTATTTTGTTTATTGTATATTGTATCAACGTCCTGCTGTTGTTTTAATAAACACACTCAGATACTGAACAAGAAATGCAAGATAGTTGGATAAAGCAGGAATGCAAATTAACTACAAAATAGGTTGAGCTTATCTTTGTTATATAAGGTATTCTATAAAAATGGTCCTTTTAAATGTAATAGATCATGTCAGTCCGGTCATTAAACCCAAGCACTCCCTAAAAATCTGTAATGTTTCCGCACTAAAGAAAGCTGAAACCATCAATCTCAGGGTGGACACCCTAACTTTGTCTTGAACCCCGTCTCTCGTCTTTGTTTAGTAGAAATAAACTTAGAGTTCCCATTTTAAGAGCAGTTCAGCCTCAGTTAAAGACGCCCCAATGAGTCCTCTCAGCTTTATGTTTACAGCAAAAAAAGAGACATTATGAGTTGTTTACTGCCCCAAATGATGGCAGTTAAAAGGATTTTTAACACATCTAGTCTGTTTTCTACAAAACTCTTGCTAGGCAAATTTGGGAAAATACTATCAAATTGTTTATTTAAACCAGTTCAAATCATTCATTTTATTGTTTAATACTTTAGTGCAAGGTTGCTGTAAAATTGTGGGGAATGTAACCGTTATAATGATGTGTAGCATTCAAGTTCAAATATTTATATTTGTGTAGGCGATGTAAGCAGCTTAGAACTTGCTAAAGTGGGCTTAAAGTGTTATACATTCAAAGAATTTCTATAAAATCCAAACCAGGCATCTATGTTTGTCAAAATGTGTAGCCACACCAGGCTAGTAAAGGGGACCTGTGTCTAATTTGGCAATTTCGTGGAGTTTGGGTGGAGCTGAGGTGGGCTGAATAAAGATTACTGTAAACGGCCACCTGTGGCGGCACCCACCTGTCACTCAAAGCAGCCGTACCTTTAATAATGGATAACTTTAAGCATTAATATAATTTAAACTGGTGAGTTATATAAAAATGTACCAAGAGAGAGAAACATCAGTGTCAGTCCTCAGTTTCTCTGAATAGCAACTTTTACAGTCAAGGCTACCAACTGAAAACGTTGGCAGGAAGGCTGTTTTTTAAAGACTGAGAAAAAGTAATCTGAGGTGTTTCAAAATGAACAATAGTATAAGGACATCAGTTTGTATTTCAATTAAAAAGAAAAGCTTCTGGAAGAATATTTAAACCTGTGTGAGACACTACTTATTTACAGTTAGCAAGGCAAAGAGAGCTCATAGCTTCTTTAAAGTTGTGGTCACAGATGGTACAGTCAGTGAACAATGTGACAATGAGTTAGCTTGGAGGTTAGAGAGGCTGCCTTGTGACCAGTTGCCCATTGAAATCCTCCCTCAACCAGCTCACAGAGTGTTTGTGAGGAGGTAAATAAACGCTGCTATCTAAACAACTTAATGAGCGACAACAACAAACAGTAGAGGACTGTGTTTACACTTCAACTTAAACTGATGGTAATAAACATGAAAGATATCTGAATTGAGTAGAATTAACTCAAGTAATTATTGTTAAGATAAGATAAGATGTACCTTTATTGATCCCCCATAGGAGAAATTCAGACACAGCAGCATAGGGGAGTGTAGTGCAAAGTTAAGGTAACTTAATTGTACTAATTCCATTCAGATCATTAAAGTTACTCTCATAAGCAGCATTTTTCCAAACTAATTTAAAATAATCGGAATAAAGTAACTTAAATGCATCTTCTTTATACAAATGTTACCACCGAGTCTAATATCTAATTTATTCTTCCACTACAGCAAATTATTACATTACCTGTCAAAACATCTGATGTATGATTAAAAACAATTTATAATTAATTGATTATCAAATTGTTTTGTGGCTAACAACAAATCTTTATTTGGATGTATATTTGTTTATATGCTGATTTATAAACTGAAATCCTGTCATATGAAATCAACTGAAAGAAAATTAGTCAATGGAACAAACTGGAATTATGTCGCCTGTATTTAAAATACTAAACAAATTTAATTGCAATTAAAACAACTGAGTTTGAGCTTCAACAATTCATTTTTGAGTTGGGTTTAATTCATGTGAATTAATTCATGTTAACTTAATTCTTGTTAAGTAGACATGTTTTACAGTGTACCTCCATACACACACAATGTAACTGTGGTCAGTGGGACGGTGTTGATGACACTAAAACATATGCACACACCACTTTCATAGTCACCACTCAGTCATTAACAAATGCTGTTTAAAATCAACAGACTGAAGTGGTGTGACAGGTCCAAATATTTGGCTTGCATAAAATCCAGACTGGAGACAGACTCAGTGCAGACAGCTTGTATTCTGACTGAGTCATTCCTAAATATCATACTGTTCAATTTTATATTAGTTAATAATATCAGCTGGTCTTAGCAACCTGCAGATTTGCAGTGGGTGAGTGGTGGATTCTGGGCAACAGGAATAGTGGAAATTGTAAAACAATATAAGTGTTTATTAATGAGTCACTACTTGTATCCCTATAGTAGTGAAACACGTATCCATGTCCTTGCTGCTGAGCTGCACTACTGAATATTTTAATATTTACAATGGATCAAATGACTACACTTAATGTGAAAGGAGTTGTTGTGTTGATGAACCCACACAGAATTAACATGCAACTCTGCTGTTACCCTCATTGCTATGCAGTGTTTTAGCTTTACAGTTTGCAACTTTACTGCTTTCGTTCAGTCCCACTGCTTTCATCAACCTTGTTTTCAAGTTCTGATGGACCCACAGTACACTACCTTTGAATTTTGCAGCTGGTTGAGGTGAAGCTAACTAATATATAGTGTTGGTTATTTAAATCTATACCAAGACCTCAAAAATCTAATGACCTTAGATTCGTTGTGACAAAAAAAGACTTGCACCTGGACTTTAACAGCAATGACTTGTGACTTCACCTGGACTTCGGAGCCTTTTAACTTGTCTTGTTATTTAAAAAGTCTGCCACGAATCAGTTCATTTCCTAAAACAACTAACGATAAACATTCCAGGTAAGTCGACACTTAATTCCCCAGATCCACTTTGTTTGAACCAATCTGACAGCATCCAATCAAGTTGCAGAACTAACATTATGTTACTGAGCACTAGTTGGATTAGATAATATAAGATATTTCTTCAAACTCAAAGGACTTGAGACTTGAGTACAAAGACTTGAGACTTACTTGTGTCTTGCAAAACAATGACTTGTTCCCACCTCTGGGACAAATATAAAGTTGCACAATATTAACTAACATTGTACTAAATGTACTTTGTTACTTCCTGTCTGTGCTCCCCATAAAGAGAGTGATACAACCTCACCAAGGACACCATCTTGTGATGAGTCCCGAGCTTGATGATGCAGGATCAATTAAAACATACAGCTGTTCATTTTCCTCCGGCGTTGAGCAATAAACGCTGATTACATGAGATGCAGCGATATGAAAATGTATCTCATGGACTTTCATACATTGTGCCCGGCGAACTCACCATCTGATGCACCCTCTGTCGGACATATTGCCATCTATATACTTCCATGGATTCTTTTGTTTTGTTTTCTGTCTTTTGTGTGAGTGAAGTAGGGTTTATAATCAGCTTCCATCACATTAGAGATGAATAATAGATTATTGTGATATAGGATTACCCATGAAGAGCTAGCTTCAGCTCTGTTTGTTGGCCTCACCTTGGAGTCCATAAAAAGATGTTTGCGTGTGCGTACTCACAGCCAGCAGGCGGTTCTTGTCCTTCTCGGCGTTGTTGAGAGCGTTCTCCAGGGTCACTCTGTGTTTCTTGCCGACTTCCTCCAGAGCTCGAGCCTGGCTCTCCTTCATCTGGCTGGCCTCTTCTTCAGATCGAGCTCGCACATTGCTCATCTCCTTCTCGTGGGATGCCTTCTCCTCGAGCAGGGTCTGGCAGAAATAGAGGATAAATATGCATGTACACACACATTTAAAATATGCTCAAAGGTGAGAGATATGATAGATGACACACACTGAAACAGACAAACGCACACACTTACAGAGCTGGGATTCACATTCACACCATATGCTGTATTATTCAGCCATATTGCCAGTGTTTACTAAGTGACAGCCAAGGAATCAATCCTGCATTCTGTCTGTCTGTATCTGAAATGTCCTATTTGGATCTCTTTCTGTTTCCATCTTTCTCATCACTTCCCATTTATATTTTTTATTCCTAAAGCGCAAACCCCAACAGGCTGAAAAGAAATTTTTATAGCAGACTCCATGTGGCATTATTGGTAATGGAGTAACTGATTATGGAATTATAAGGCATATAAATCAGTCGGCAACATAAACCCACCATCATTCTGATTCTACATGAAGTCATGACTCAAGCTGGTGTTTGTCAGACGCTGTCTTCATCATCAGGAGTGACAGATGCAGTAAATTGGCCTTTTGCTGAGTCAAGCTGATAACGGCAGCACTTTAATTTCTTTATTATTCTTTAAACAAACTGCTAGCAGATTTTATCAGCTGTAGCTATCTGGGTAATTAACGTTAAGTCTGTGAATTGGTTGAAAACGCTGTCTCCACCAGACTCTTTACTGTTTTTAGTCGGGCTGTGTATTGGCAAGATTCTGGCGATACGATAAGTACAAGGCCTGTTGAGCCTACAGGTGCATGCTTAGTGATTTGCAAGTGATGTGTATAAGTAAGATGAGTGGCAGTTGAATCAGAAGAGAGCTGCCTCATAGATTTGAAACTGAGGGAATAATAGAGGAACGTGGTAATATACAGGAATGGATAACAGCCAAAAGATGTATCTTAGAGGGCATATAGAAGACGGAATAAAGTCCTTCTGATTTAAGTTGTTACTATGCTCCATTTATTGTGAAACAGACAGGCAAGAACAAATGTCCTCTGTATGAAGCAACAGTGCACTGAGTTTGTCATTGGAAGTCTGGTACAGTATGAATCAATGCTAAGGTCACAGAAAACAGTGGTCTTCCTGGTAAACAAAATAGAATCTGAGGGCCATTTACTTTGGTTTTAATCAGGGGAGCAGCTGTTTCTTGATTGCATGGGTTAAACAAAAAATTTAATTAGCCAAACTTTGCCAAAAGAGCCACATGGGAACAGTAATATCCTTCAATTGAGCTGGAATTAGGCACAGTAAAAGAGCCCTAAAGTAAGCCAAGAAATGAACTCTGAGATAACATTTCCTGTTAAATTGTGTACAAAGATTACCTGACAAGATGAGTTTTGAAATCAGTTGTTGATATATTTATTTTCTCAGTTCCCTTTATTTTGGTGCAGGAAGATGCAACTCTTTGCTTCGAGGCAGTTCAGATTGTTCAGGTTTCTGCAACACTACTAGAGGCACATAGATAATGGATAAATGGATGAGCTATTGATGTCCTGATACAGTTCTTTGGCCCCGTTCTAAATTCAATCTGATACTTACCTAAAAGTTCATTCAATATGTATCTGACATTTTGAAATAACATATGTAGTTGTCTAAAGTTGGCATTGGTTATTTTTATAGTCCTAGTCCAAAACTATGAATTTGATAAGCTTAGATTATTGATATGATATGAAGGAAAGTTTAACTGGAATATATGAGACTCCTGTCTCTCTGTTTGAGTTGTGTTACAGTACATCTTTTACTCAACCTCATAAACCGTCTTTGTCTGTGTACAGACACCAGCCTGCACAGCAGCACTTTAACCAGACAACAGGAAAGTTTTGTTTTGGTCTTTTATCAACTTACTCACAGAATTATCATTAATTATCAACAGCTGAAAGGAACGTCTCTGGGCATTATCTTGACCTGCGAAAGCGACGGTCAGCGCTGGCAAAAAATGAGAAGCAGCTAGCTGAATGTTTTGTACACTGATCTTTGCTTATAAGAAAGAGAGAGGAGAGACAACACATTTGTTACAGTCGGTGCTTATTAAATTTTGCCAAACCAAATGTCAACAGAGTCAATCAACTAAATCATTTTCCACATTCACACAGTCTAATTATGTCCCTCATACTGGGGTCCAGGGAGCCCCAGGGCAGTGCAGGGTAAACATAGGTATACAGAGTACTTATTTTTCTGTTGGCACTGGGGATACCAACTTTTAAATCCCCTGTGAGGAACACATTCAGCAGTGTTCTGTAAACTCAATTTTGGATGGTGAAGGCATGACATAGTTGTGGATGGAGTAAAGAATAAAGAATACTTCACCCAAAATAATCATGTAGTTGTCTCAACCGTCTGTGGGCCAGTATTGATTGTTCTGTGACTAATGTTAATTTCATAATTTTATATTCTTTAAAGTTAAGCAGGAGAAGAAAGTACAAATAATATTGGCCCATTTTAGGGTGAATTAAATAAAGTGAAGTAAACCTACTTTTTCAGGCACAACTACATCACTGCCCAGTGGGTCCTTGAGGGGGTACCTGAGGGTCCCCAGAACATTGACTAGAAGTTATAAATTTCACAATCTTCAGTGTTAATCTGCCAACACTGAATAACTATATCTTATCAGAAATGGATTCCTAAGACTACATTTAATCAAATATGGATCTACGGCCTGATGTTGTCAATCTGTTGGTCCTTGACACCAAAAAGGTTGAGAACTAACAATAAGGATAGTAGCGTTGGAACACCAGCAGACTATGGTGGAAAAAACACAGTACAGAGGAAGAAAAGATCGGATTTGGCTTTATTTTAGCTGATACCGATCCATTAAAATATGACTGGACATCTTTAACAAATGTACTAATTTTGAGATAAATGTTTTGCAAGGTCTGGTGAATCTTGTATGTCAAACGCCTCCTTTTATCGATTGCTAAACTCAAACAGATGCTGCAAATCTCCACAGCTGCGTCCTGAAATGGCACATTAACAATTGCCATATAAACAGTGTTCCATCATTGCCATTGCATTAGAAAAGATGACACTACAGCCTGTCCAAATCATGCAAAATGTATATTCTGTTTAGCCTTTACCAGTCATTTAATACTAGTGAGTATCTGGCAGTTTGTGGAATATATCAGACATTGGCAACAACATCAAAAAAAAAAAAACCTTTAATTTTCCACCAGGGATGCAATCATACTGGTGTGCACTAATTGCTCCAAACCAACGGCTGTTTTGGAAATCTACCAAGAAACGTCCATCAAACCGGTCAAACTGAGCAAGACTGCTGTGTTATCATATGGCCAAACAAGCCGGAGGAGGAAAACATCTCCACAGCGTGACGTGAGCGACAGGGCAGGAAAACATCCTGGGAGGCTAATTTCTCCTTTTGCTGAGAGAAGACAAGGAAAAAAAGGCTCTAAAGAAAATAAAACATAAATGAGGAAAAGAAAGGTAATAATAGAGAGGGGGAAAAAATACCAAGCCTCCCATTAATGAAATTACTTTTCCACAACGTTTTATAATTAAGTCACACCACGAACATTATCTGAAATGTTCTTTCTCTCCCAGTTGCTTATATTCAAAAACAATTAATCCAAAAATCACTACTTGAAAAATTCATTCTGCTACCAAAAAAATTAATGCAATTAAAAGATGAGCTTTTTAAAGGACCAGTGTGTAGGTTTTGGCAGATTGCAACCCCCTCACCTCACGCAAAGTAACAGATTACTGTGATTAATCCATTTCAAGCACAAGTCAGCTGAGCACTGATGATATTAAAGAAAGGACCAGCTAAGTTTATGTGGTGCAAGATCTTCTATTATCCCGAGGAAGACATTTATATTCACAGCAGCATCGCTCAGTGGGAGAACTCTCCCCGCACCCACAGGATTACACTGCACAAATGTCAGAGATAAAGGGATGGGAAAACACACATGAAGCAGCAACACTTGACATTTACCATCAGCTGTGGTTGGTCTGCTGACTACACTGTGCCTTAAATCATCTGACCTTTAAGCTTCTTGGTTTTTAAAAAGTGGTGCAGCTCACAAAGTTTGTTAATGCAGTGATCGACAGGTTTGACCCTTTTAACAGTTCGATGATTATGGGCCCATTTCTGCTTACTTTTGCTCATAAAGCATTTTAAACTTTGTTGTTTATCTTCTTCCTAATCTGTAGGAACTCTTCTGCAACTTGCACATAATTACTGTAAGTAACTATTGACGGTTAAGTTAGGTAAAGAAATACAGGAAAATAGAAAAAGAGTGTGAAACTTTTTCTATTTTTTTATTGTACAGCCTATATGCTCATGCTAACATTTTGTTTTCTCTATAAAGGAGTTCACCACACGTCGCGACTGCTTCCAACCAAGAACAAAAAAAGGAAAAACAGAAAGATAATAACGTGGTTACCAACAATATATCCTTCACTAGAGGGATATAAACAACCTGATTTAAAGTAGCTACCAGATAGGGAAATAATATCTATAGTGCGGCTAAATTAAGCTTACCAAAAATGCAGCCACAACCTATCCTTTATGATTATAATGTACATACTATAAAAACAAGAACTACGGGCTGGCACACTCAGACTGTTACTTATC